TCTCCCATTTTCATTCAAGTAAACAATGTGGAATTCCATGATGCCATCCCAAAATAGTTCAAGAACTCAGGAATTTAAGACTTTGTCAACTATGTCAAAAGCTGCCCTCTTCGATATGCCTTCTGCGACCCAGAGCCATTTTATCTTAAGCAAGTATGTGAGTTCTTTTATTCCTGCTTTGTTGATTATAGTTTTCAAACCATTACTGGAACCATTGGAGATGGTCAATATAGGGTTACTATTAATGGAAAATCTTCTCGAACTGCTCTTCGTCTTCCCCGATAAGAAAACTACTCTGAAACCCCTTTTGAAGAAAAATGTAAATGTATTCATTTAAGATTAGGGTGTAACTTTTCGCTTCAGGGAACTCCCATGATCCATCCAGATACACCCTTGATCAGTGTTATGGTGTAGGGTGGAAGTACTTATGTGGGGTGATTGGTAAATGCCTTGGACATAAAACTGGGAGCTTAGATCAGTTAAACCTATTTGGGCAACGAATTCTGTATTCCGTGGCTTGCAACAAATGACTGGATTTTTCTCAACTCTTCCTTGAGCAACTGACTGAATGTGTCACTGGGAACAAGAATTCATCATATGTTCCTTATCCTCGATGGGTTGGACTAATTTTGGCTGGTGATGAAGAGGGTAATAATCTCAATCATGGAGTCATCATTCCGATTCCAGCCCCTTCTCCAAAGATCATCAACGCTGCTCCTTCTGATGGAGATATGCATATTACCCAGAGAATGGCAAATTGGGTTGCAAATCCCTACATTGTTTAATCCTCTGACTCTGAAGAAAAGGATGATGAGGATAATGATGAAGGAGGTTTTGAAGAAGATGAAGACACTAATAATGAAGATGATGAAGACACTGATGATGTAGAAGATGCTGATGATGAAGAAAATGAACTTTTCACTAATAAAGGAGAAGCCTCTATTCAAGAATTGTCTAATTCTCCTCCAAAATTGAACAAGCATATTCGCTTCTCTTTATCCTCTACATCATCTAAAACTCCTCCTGCAGAAGATTTTTTACAGCAAGGATCAACTCCACCTCAAATGGAAACTACTTAACCACTAATTCAAGATGTGAGTTCTCCAAGATCAACGTCTCCTTCTCCTCAAGCTGCATTTTTCCCTCCAATGCTAACACCCCTTCAAACTACTTCTGCTTATCAGGGCGAGTCCTGTTCCAACTTTCAAACTACCATGTTTTCTCAGCTCTCTCTATTGGTACAAATGACTTAATCTTGGGGAGAATGAGTGACCAAGGTTGAAAAATATATGGATGATATGAAATGATCAATGGTTTTGGATGATGATGATGATGTGATGATTGAAGACACTCCTCCTACCTCTCCAGACAATCCACCTCCACATCCACCTCCAACATAAAATCCTACTCCACCTCCTCCCCTACCATCATATCCCCCTTCGCGCTCCCTATCCACTATCTGACCCCTCCCTAAACTGATAATGCCAAAAGGGGGAGAATAGTCAAGAGAACAATGATCAAAAAATGGTCATCGTAACAACTCCATCTCAGTCTAAAATGTCTGAATCAGGAAGTGATGATAATCAAACGGAAATTGTTGTAGCTGAACAAGAGAGAAATGATCAGCATATCCCAGATGCTAACGCTGGGGATTAGTTTGAGACCGATGAGTATGAAGAGTTTCTTGATTTGGGGTTTATGGCACAAGTTGTTGTTCCTATGAGTGTTGTTTACCCTGATACATATTGAGAGGGAGATTTCTGAAGGAACCAACAATAACATAGATTCTGATGATGAATAACTCAACCCTAGAAAAAGGAAGGCTTCCTTCCCAAGAGAAGCAAGATGACAGTTGACTTGGAGGATTTTGCTGCAGATTGGTGAATGACCATTCAAGAAGTCAGATAAATCAAGTTAGAACATAATGCCCCAGTTAGAAGAAGAAAAGAGGAACGTTAGAATATCAAACTTGTTCAATACCTTGCTTCAGCTGATGCTTAAAAGACCAACATTCAGCGCTTCAATGTTCATGTAGCAAAACAGAACAGAGTATCTGAGCTGAATGATTGAATCAATCAGAAGAAATTTAGGAATATTCTAGGAAGAAGATACCAACCTGATCCCATCATCAAAGTCAGATGCACCAAAACCAAAGACGAATCTCTAAAATTGCATCTTGTGAGGAAAAAGGCTGAGTATGAATACACTGAAGTTACTTTTGATCCTTAACTGGTTAAATATGGCCACACGAGTGGATGCAAAATCAGGATACAATTTCTAAACACAAAGGTGTTCATGCTCAGGAGGTAAAGTTGGCAATTCAAACCCTGATCAACAAAGATAAGAAACTAAACTTAGTACCTTTAGTTGGTCCATCCCAGCCATCCACTTCGGAAAGAGGTAGCAGACCCAGAATTTCAAAATACACTAACTTTCTTCTTCCGTATGGACTTTCTACATCTACAAAAAGCTACCAGTGGGAGTTAATCCAATTCAATACATGTTCATATGGGAACCAGAATATGGTATTTTCTATCTTGATAGCCAGAAACAAATGTGCTTTCAACGCACTAAAGATCTTCCTAATTCTCCTACCGAGCATTTTTTCAACCTTCATCTGGAGGGTATGTGGCATAAAGAGTTGGGAAGAGGATATCATGTGTAGATATCTTTTGAAATCAGTAAGCGAGTAACTGATCTTCATCTTGATGACTTCAAGTCGTTAAAGCCTGAGATCTTAACGGAAGCTAAAAAATTCTAAAACGATGACCTTGATGACATCGTTGAAGATTAGTTTTGACATCATAAGATACGGGGAGATTGTAAGGTAACAAGTTATGATATGATGATTCAAACACTTTATACACAGACCACCACCACCAGCGCCAATGTGACCATCAACACCAGCGTCAATACAAGACCTATCGGCGTCAGCAATAAGATAATGATCTTGGTGATCATTGTATATTACTCAGTTATACGTATATGTATAGAATAGATATCTAATATATAATTTTTTGATTAGCATCACCTTTACTTAGATAGGTATACATCCCTTAATTAGTGGGATATCAGTTATGTAATCGTATATATTCAACATTAGGGTGAAACACTAATGTAATGTCTTGGTGACCGTCTTTGTGACCTTTGTTCTCTTGGTGAGAACATCCTTTATTAGTGAAAGCATCTTTGTGATTATTCTAGCCCTTTGTTTTTATGTTTAGATTAGTTTTTTCTTTGTTATTCATACTTGAAGTGCATTCGATCAATACAAACCTTCAACTCTATCGATAATTTTGCAAAACTCCTTCAAATAAAGCATCCGGAGCAATCGACACAATCTTGATGATTTTTACCAAGGACCACAGATCTTCCTCATATTTCCCAAGCACATCATGAAAACGAATTTTCTGCTTTTTAAACTCATCCTTATCCTTACAACTCTTTGTAAACTTGAACCGAGGAATGATGAACAACAAATGATTAATTAGAAAATCCAGTTGATTGAACTCAGTATCTTCAATGTCGTAACTTTTCTTTAGCTTTATAACAGGATCATCGTCTTCACTAAAAGTTACGCTTTCATTCGTTTCATAACACCAAAATTTGTTAGGATCACCATTGTTGAGACCTGATTGATCATTCGCTCTTTGCGTCATTACACTGTTTAGCTGCCTTAATCTTTCCATCTTGAGCTCTTGTAGTTTTTTATTTTCTTCTGCTGAGGGTTTGCCATCAACACATTTTCCTTTGTCTTTAGGACCAGAGGTTGGTACTGGTTTGCTGTTGAAGAACTAGATCCTCCTTCGCCAATTTTCAACCCTTTCTTAGACTACATCTTGGACAAATCAAGTTCAACATTTAGAACAGACGTTGTTGTCGAAGTTGTCATTATGGCTTATTGGTAAAGAAATGCAGGTTTATGTAGCAATTAACTTCCCAATTTTCCCTTGGTCTTCCCCACTATCTTTCTATGACCCAACCCCACTTTTCTCCCCCTTGTCATACGTGCGTTAAAGGATGTGGAGCATTTGGTGGTAACCGAAGGACCAAATCAAGAATCAGTGAAAGATTAGTCTCAAAACATGATTCCACTGATGAAATCATGGAAGAAATTTGATATTGAGAAATCAAATTTGGTGATAAAAAATCAAATTTTGATAAAGACTCATGAAACCTAGTAAGATAATTTTCAATCTTAGAAAACACTCAACCACCATCAGGTTCTTTCTTTTATTTCATTTCACCAACACAATCCTTGTTGAAAGTACGAATGTCTTCAGTCATGGTTCGTGTTGCGCCTAAAAGAACATCAACCATATTATTAATGCCTTCACAAAACGAATCAAGCTTCTTAACCTCTTTAGAAAAGAAATCATTAAATTCCTTGAGCTTTGACTCAATTGATTATTTGGAAGAGGTCAGAAGCTTCTAAAAATCTCTTGTCGCTCACGAGAAACATCCTGCAATGCCTTGATTTCATATTTGTAAGAACTGAATTGAGAATTTAGGCGTTCTTCAAAATTCATAACAGCATTATCAAACAACTTCCTAGTTCTTGAATCATGAGATTTCAATAGAAATTCAACTTCTTCACCACTCACAACGGATTTCCCAGCACTCTCATTCAAGAATTTATTTAATTTTGGAGTTAATAATTTTAAATTGCTTGCATGGCATAATGGCATTTTCATCTACATTATCTTCTTCGGGATTAAACTGAAACTCATCAAATCCAACCATTTTGTCCTCGTCCTCATCTTCGTTAGTTTACATCTCTTGCTCTGTTTATTGAGAAGAGAATAAGGTAGTGATAGGCTCCATCATGACACCTTGAAAAGAAGGAGAAATAGTAAGAACTAAGTTGGTATGATAGTAGAAGTTGGTAGTGGTGACGAAGGTGGTGGTGATGGAACAGTTGAAGTGTCAATGACTGATGTCGAATTCTCCTCACCCATGATAACATTTGAGTCCTTATTAGATAAGTTCTCTGTGATGTTTTAAGTCCTACCCTTCTCCACATTGGACTTGAAAATAGGAACATTGGGTGGTGTGACTGAAGTCTGCTCAAGGATCAAAGTAATAATGGGTTCACTAGAAGCGATGTTGGTATCCACATAAGATGCGGTTATAGTGACATCAGGAATACTTGTCTCCTCGACATTCGATTCAACAGTGGTATCCTGTCCAGGTGAAACATGGAAAGTCTGATCATCATCCCCACAAATATCATCTTCTATGTCTTCATTATCGAGATCAAACCTAAATGTTTTTGATGGTGTCGAAGCTTTGGTAGAAGGTTTTTTTGTCATTCAAAGCCCTAAACTTCTTAAGTCGTTTTAGCATGCCAATAGCTTTACATTTCCTATCTTTTTGTGATTCTTCCTTGTTGACATCTTTAATAACCACACTAGAAGGCTTCGACTTCGTCTTAAACTTCTTGGACTTCCTGACAATAACCTCATGAATAGAAGTTTCTGTAACAACTTCCTTTATAACTTTTGTAACTTCCTTCTCAGAACCACTTGCAGCTGACTTCTCAGTGATGTATTTTGTAACCTTCTTAGAAGCACTTTTCCCAGATTTCTCAGGAACATTTGTCACTAAAGCATCATTCTCAACAAGTTTAGGCTTCGACTTAATTTCTTCTTTCTAACTTGCGAGTATGTAGGTGTTCCTTTTGAGGCTTTAAAGGTTACCTTCTTTGGTATAGCACCAGAAGAAGTAGAATCCACAAAAGTTTTATATTGGACCAATAATGAATTCGTAGGAGATACCAAATTGAATATGGCATCCGAAATTCAACCAACAACAAGGAAAATAACAGGATCATCAATAACAGACTTAGGAATGTGAAAATGAGAAAATTGGGCAACCTCAAGATCTTCATGAACTTGAATACCTGCTTTGATGTAAACTTTGTGTGAAATTAAACTCCATAATCAAGCATTGGAAATATCAGTCGTGTTCTTTGAGTGCTTGACTGACAAAGCAAACTCAGCCCACAACAACGAAGCATAATCCACCTTCTTACCATAATAAAGACCTGTCATGACTGAATAGAATTGCAGTTTTGCCTTGTCAAAACCAAAGCCTTTTCTATTTAAACAATGAAGTGTGATTTCAAAGAAAATATTCCAAAATCCTAGAAGACTTGACTTCTTGAAACTACTCACAAGTGAAATTGAAGGTTGATAAGCCATCTCGTTGAACATTTTGAGCACTTGTTTATTGATAGGAACCTCGAACTGACCTTCTGACTGCATTTGAAGAATTTGGGTTAATTGCTTTTTGTTCAATCTCTTACTATTTTGTGATTCCATTTGAAATGTGATGATTTTTGTCGTTTGTTGTACATGGTCGTAGAACAAGCACGAGATAACTACTTCATCAGAATGGAAAAGGAACCAGTCAAAGCATGTGCTAGTACATAATCATTCATAACCTGAATTAACATCTTCAATTCTTCAAGGTATTCTTTGATCAATTGATTAAACATACATTGTTGGATTGAACTTTCATATTAGGCATGGAAACTTCGACTTCAATGGTATTGAATTGATCCACGGATGTGTTGGCAGTAGACATGATGATCGAGATAATTTAGAGTTTGATTGAAAAATACGGTTAGGGTTCTTGCGTAAATGTCAGGAATCAAAAAGATGAAATTGTATCCCTACATAATCTTTTTATAACCAACGTCAAATTCAAATTCAAAAAACGATCTAATAAGCCAATGCGACATGTAAAGTAGGTAACTGAAATGACATCACCCCCTTCCGCCATGTGTAAACGTAATGATAACTTTTTCTTGAGCCACAATAAATCAACTGGAATGTCAGATCCAACAGCTACTTCTTCATTACCAACAGAACTGAACAGTCAACAAGTTTCGTTAAGGACTAGGAACCAAACTTCATTAGTTAAGGTTGGGACTCATTGACTTATGGGAATAATAAATGAAATCATAAGCCAGACTTTGCGAAATCTAGGTCTGAGTTGGTAATACTCAAAACGTCAAGGATTTCAGTGCAAATGTGATGCAAAAGAAAAGATAGAATCAAAAATATAAAAATCTGGATATTGTGATGTAAAAAAAAAACATTGATATAAAGGCAGTAAGATCCCGGACGAAGATATTCTTCCTTCGAAATCGAGATATATCAAAGTGCGTGTGTGGTTTCCTATGAATTACGATCGAATACTTATAGAGAAGTATCGAAGGGCCTCTTTTAACAAGCTTCGTAGGTGGCTTAATTTTAAAACAAGTTCGCAACTTAATATAAGAGCAAATCATTGTAAGAAAATACTTGTGTGATTAGTGTAATCAACAACAAGTAAGCTTTGGAAAAATTTAAGTGACTTAAGATCAAAGTAAATGTTCATATGAAAATCTCATTTCATAGGAAAGATAAAGAGTTGGATATATTGGGTAGACATGAATTGGGATTAGTATATTTCATTAAGATCAAGCATAAAAAATTAAAATGAGAATTTAAACATTCGAAAAGGTACATTGAAACATAAGGTTACGTAAAAATCCTGAACAATAAAATAGTTCACCGTCAATTTCTTAGGTATAAAGTTTGTTGGGTTTACCCTCATCATGGAAAACTGATTTAGGAGCATAAACATAGAGTTTTGGCACAACTACATCCTGGTTGTTTTTTACTTGAGATGTCTTGGGATATGCGTCTTTGTGTGTGCAAGTGTAAGAACTTGAGGGTGAAAAAGACTGGTTAAGAAAATCCATTGTACCTCTGCGAAAAATTCCATTAAGGCTTCTTAAACAATGAGTTGGTAAGGCTTTGGACAACATGTTGCAGCATGGTTCTAGGGACACTTAACTACCTATGAATTACAAATGTTACATGATCCCTGATGAGCTTTGCTTTTGCATGATTACTAACAACATTTGTTACAATGGACTTCCTAATCAAGATAACAAAATAAAAAATAACTAAAATAGTTTTGTAATTTTGAAATTTTGAAATAAAAGACAAAAAAAATTATTTTGTGTTATTGATTTTGGAAATAAAGAACAAAAATTATGAAAATCTTTTAGGATTTTTGATATTTGGAAAGAAAGACAAAAATAAAGAAATTCTTTTTGTGTTTTTGACTTTTTCTAAAATGACAAGGAAGAAATATATATATATATATATATATATATATATATATATATATATATATATATATATATATATATATATATATATATATATATATATATAGGGAGAGGTTATATTGAGAATGCAAAAAGGTTGAGAACGCGAGAACAATTATGGAGCAATTATTTTCTATGGGTAATATAACAATTTTAAAATTGCATTAATGAGATATTAAACTTAATTAAATGATTGTTTCCTATAATTTTGCAATCATTTATTTCAATTTTTTTACAAAAAATACTTTTTTTTTTTTTAATATAAAATAATCAAATTGAATGAATTCTTGATTTTTTTTCATATTTTAAAAGAACCTATTTTTATTCTACAATTTTATTGTATTTATTGATGTATGCATAATTTGAGTTTTTTAATACAAATTAGTGTTTTGTATGGATATTTATTCTTTAACAAGTTAATGGTCCAATTCATGCGATTTTCATTCATAAATGAATTTTTTTAAGAATGTCATTTCACTTTATTATGTTAATTATGAATGTATATAAACAAAAATAAACATTATAATGCACAAAATACAATAGTTAGATTTATAAATGAATAAAACACTTTATACATAATTATACAATCCATACACAATAGTAATATTAATAAATGAATAAAACACCGAAAGAGGGAAAAGTTTCTCAAAATAAATAAGAAAATAGAATAAATGATTCATACATGATTAATATGTAAAGAATAAAGTATAATTAATAAAACAAAACAATTATATTCATACATGATTACATATTGTATATGCAACCTATATTCATAAATGATGTGTGCATAATTTGAGTTTTTTTAATAGAAATTAATGGTTTGTATAATAAAAATATGTAAATGGATATTTATTCTTTAACAAGTTAATGGTCAGATTCATGCTATTTTCATTCATAAATGAATTCTTTTGAGAATTTCATTTGATCTTATTATGTTAATTATGAATGTATATAAACAAAAATAAACATTACAATGAATAAAGTAGAATAGTTATATTTATAAATGAATAAAACACTTTATACATAATTATACAGTCGATACACAATAGTAATATTAATAAATGAATAAAACACCAAAATAGGGAAAAGTTTCTTAAAATAAATTAGAAAATGGAATAAACGATTCATACATGATTAATATGTAAATAGTTAAGTATAATTAATAAAACAAAACAATTATATTCATAAATGATTCTTACATGATTACATATTGTATATGAAACCTACCTACATAAATAAATGATTACAACATTACAAATGAAAAAAATAACAACCAAAAATTATGAAAATATGGATCTTGATGCCTGTCCAATCCATAAAGATCCATCTCGATCAGTGTTCTTCTTTTTTCTTAGAAAGTGAATAAACCTAAAAATCCAACAAATTAATACCCAAACGAAAATAATTTTATTCATTAACAGTATAGAAATCACACACACAATTTTTTATTTAATGTCATTTTAATAATATATTCCAATTTGCAATTCATGATGTAGTTACTTATAATTATAACAATATTCATAAAATATTTTTTTGAAAACAATATTGACATTATTCACAAATTACATTCCTACTCTAATCATGGATAAATCAAACAACTCCTAGAATAAAAATCATTTTTGAAACATAAATAAACCAAATAAAAAAACTTGCATGAATTGTAATCATTGATTACAATCAAAGCCAAAGAATGTTTCCAAAAGCCCAAGAACTAATGCAATTCCCTTTTTTTCTTCTTTTTTGTGTGTTAATGTTGACGAGTAATTGCCAACAAAAAAATAAACCAAAAAGAGGGAGAGAAAAGTGAAGAAAATATGAAGCACATATATCGCTCGTTTACCACATATGTATGTCATCAAATATATGGTTGTTTATATTACCAATTTGTACTATCGTCCATTAGTCGCCGGAAGCCCTTTTCCCGTCGTACTTTGCCACAAACAGCCCCGACCGACGCCTTCGTTGGTAGGACCACTAGCCTTGGCTGTTTTAGATGATCTGATTTTTACATGTTATCACGATGGGTTATGGATTGATTTGAACCCTAATTGGCTTGAAAGGAAAAAACGGCGCTTGTGGAGAACTGGTTGAATTGTTTGAGTCTTGTGAATATAAAATGATTAATGACGGTATATATTAATGAAT